CCCGCACGCGCGCACCGCGTCGGACGTTACATAGAGAAAACATGATTCGTATACACACCCTGGATTGGATCACGCTCGGCGGCTGCCTTCATATAATATATGTTTTACACCCATATAAGCCATCCACGACCGATCTCCCCGCACGCGCGCCCCGAGTGCCCGTACATAGAGAAAACATGATTCGTATACACACCCCGACCGAATCCCCACGCGCGATCGCGCGCGACCCTCGAGACGAACGCCGACGACGACGGCGACGACACACGCGCGCGATCGATGGGCGCGCGGTCCGCGCACGCGCGCGCGCCGACGTCGGCGTCGGCGTCGGCGACGGCGCGCGCGCGACGACCGCGCGGACGCGGCGGCGTCGTCGCGACGCGGGCGACGACGGTGAACGAGACGGCCACCGCGCGTGATTTGCCCAAAGTCCTCGTCGCCGGCGGTGGCATCGCGGGACTCATCACCGCGCACGCGTGCCGAAGAAAAGGGATGGAGGTGACGGTTTTTGAAAAGGTGCGAAAGTACGAGCCGTTCGGGGGACCGATTCAGTTGCAGTGTAACGCCCAGGGGGCGCTGGATTCGATCGACCCGGACGTGGCGGAGGCGGTGATGCGGGCGGGGACGATCACGGGTGATCGCGTGAATGGATTGCTCGATGGCGTCTCGGGGGAGTGGTTTTATCGGTTCGATACGCGGAAACCGTGTCACGAGAATGGGTTGCCGTTGACCTTGGTGTTGTCGCGATTCGAGCTGTTGGATATTTTGAGCAAAGGCGTGGGGGCGGAGAACATCGAGATGGGCACGGTGGTGGAGAAGTACGAACATCGGGGAGATAAGATCGTGGCGACGCTCACGGATGGGACCGAGCACGAGGGCGATGTGTTGATCGGCGCCGATGGCATTCATTCGAGGTTGCGCAAACAAATGCGCGGCGCGGAGACAAAGTTGGCGTACGCCGGGTACGCGGTGTACACGGCGATTTGCGATTACTCCCAGCCTCACCGCGAGCCGGTGAACACTGATCCGAACAAGGTCGGTTACCAAGTGTTCTTAGGCCCGAAGCAATACTTCGTGAGCTCGGACGTTGGTAACGGACAACAGCAATATTACGCCTTTTTGGAGGTTCCGCCCGGGGGCGACGACGAATTCGCCAAGTGCGAACGATGGGCGAACTATCGCGATATGTTGCTCGATCGATTCAGCGATTGGTGTCCAGCGGTGTTGGAGCGCCTCGAGTGCACCAAGCCCGAGGATGTGGAGCGTCGTGACGTGAACGATCTCTTGCCCGATCCGCGCTGGGTCGACGGCCGCATGGCGCTCCTCGGCGACTCGGCGCACGCGGTGCAGCCAAACCTCGGCCAGGGTGGTGGTCAGGCGATCGAGGGCGCTTACGTCCTCGCCGATGAGCTCTCAAAGTGCGAAGGTGGGAAGGGTGTGCAAAAGGCGCTGATGATGTACGCCGCGAGACGGTTCCTGCGCACAGGCGCCATTCACGGCTTGTCTCGATTCTCGTCCCTCATGAACACCTTCTATCGAAGATATCTCGGCGACGAACCGTACGGATGGTACCCCGAGCCGGCGAAAGAGATGTGGCACGAGGTTTCCAAGGCGAAGATCCCGCATCCCGGTTCGGTCGTCGGTCAAATCGCCCTCATGGCGACGATGCCCATCATCCTCGAGTACGTCGGCGCCGGCTACGGCATCCCGGGCGTCCTCGGCGGCGCCTCTACGGGCAATGGCAAGGACCGCGTGCCAAAATCTCAAGTTCCCGGTATTTCCGCCCCAAAGCGCGATCTCACCGCGGACGATTTCAAGATGAAAGGCATCCCGGGTCTCGCCAAGTGAGCGAGTCGCGCGTCGCCGAGAAAGCCGCCGACGACGAACACATCCGACGTCCTCGCGCACTGTACATCGACACCGTATTCAAAACTTACACGCCGCCAATCACTCGCGACGACCGCGAGCGCACGCTCGCGCGCGTCGCGTTTTAATGACACACTACGATTTTACCCTTCGTCCGCCGTCGCCGCGTCCGCTCGGATGAAGCCAACCGTCCAAGCCATCGACATCGTCGCCACGCACCGCCGCGCACCGCGCATGCGGCGTCGTAAAAACCGCCCTCACCCGTGGGCGCGCTATCTCTCCCTCTTCTCCCTCGTTTTCACCGTCTCGTTCGCGACGACGGGCGAGGGAGCGACGTGTACGACCCCGCGGTTGAAGAGCAGAATCGGTAGCGTGCGCGAGTGTTCGCCCACCGTGCGCGCCGAACGACGGCTGTGCGGCGTCGTCGCGGGCGCGGTGGACGCGTCAACGTCGCTCATGTACGTCGCGAGCCCGTTGAGCGATTCTCTCGCGGTGATCGACGTGGGAACGCCGACGGCGCCGCGGGTGACGAGCGGGACGCGAGACGCGCGGACGACGCGGAGACCGCTGGACGTGCGATTACACGATAGTGGGACCTACATCGCGGTCCTGAGCGGTGGAAATACGGCGAGGGATAAAAATTCGACGCTGACGATCGCGAGCGTGGAGGGAGTGAACGCCGCGAACGGGGCGGCGCCGACGTACGCGGCGACGAAGAGCGACTGCGTGGCGACCGTTCGGGACGGGCGTACGCATTACGTCGGCAGCCTGTGTGGGTGCACGGCGTTTGATATGGTGGGTGATGTGGCGTACGTGGTGTGCGGGGACGCGAGTCGGTTGACGATAGTGTCGCTGCCGACGACGGCGGCGAACGCGGCGACGACGGCGATGACGGTGCTCGGTTCGATTCAGAGCGAGTTGTTAGCGGAAGGGAACGCGGTGACGGTGCGGAATAATAGGGCGTACGTGCGATCCGATGGAGTTTGTGCGTCGTGCGTCGCCGTTGTGGACGTCACCAACGTGGCATCTCCAACCATGGTTGGCGAGAGCGATGTTTCAGTCGTGACGGATGTCGACAGGTGGTACTGGACGACAGCATTCTTAGCTCGTGGCGCGCACAGGGATAACGCGACGTTCGAGTACGATTGGATAATGGATCCTGTGTCGTCGAGTGTGACCACGGTGTCGCGTGCGTGCGTGAACTTTGCGAAGACGATCGGGGACTCGCCTTCCGCGTGTGCGGGGAGTACTTACCACTTTGCCTACGAAGCCGAAGCCGAGGCAAACGCGTACTGGTATTGCGCGAGTTGATCGCGATCGTCGATGGTGATGTTTCTAAACTCTGTAATACCACTACATGCTCGCTGATAACGAACGATCATTTACGAGCATTTGCCTTTACGCCCCGATTGGACTCTCAGCGCGAATCAACGTCGGGTTGGGCATGAACAACAGACGCATCCCGCCGACCTCGATCAGCGTGTGTGGGGCCAAAATACATCGCTGCCCGGTGCTCAAGGGGACGTTATTGCACCAAATCGGTCGGCGACCGACGTTACGAAGCGCGAACTCCCCGTTCCATCGCAGCTTTAAAAACGCCTGCTGCCGAGAAATTTTGCTCGCGTTTCCCGCCTCACACAAATCGACGTCCACCTTCAACTCCTCCGTCGATCGCCCGATCACGCTCTCGCGCTCTGTGATCACGAACGTCGCGCTCATCCCCACTAACTCAGCGAGCGCGCCTCTCGATGTGGCCAATCGCGCCGTCGCCGCCTGCGCGCTCCGCTCCAACGCCGCAATTTTCCTCAGCGTCGCCGCGTCCGCCTTCACCACCTGCATATCCTCCCCATCACCCCTCGCTCGACCAGCCGCGCGTAGAATCGCCTGTTCCGCCTCCCCGAATCGCGGCGGAACATCTTCGTTCGTCGAATCGTCATCTTTCCCGTCTCCGCCTCGCGTCCGCTTCGAGGGCAATCCCTCGAGCGCCTCTCGCAGCGTCGGTCCCGGCGTCCATCGCGCTCGCTCGTCCACGGCTTTGAAGATCTCTTCGTCGGGCAGCGCTTTGATCCTCGAAGCGAACGCGCGCGCGAACGCGTCGTCGCGCAGAGCTTTGTTCCAACGCGACGTAATTTCCAATTGTGACCTCTGCGGGACAAACTGAATCACCGCGTCGTCCCCGGTCAACGACTCGATCGCGACGCCGCACTCGAGGGCGTAGCGAAGTAACGCGTCGTCGATCGCGGGCCAATCGTCGATGGACATCGGGGAGAGAAGACGCGCGCGGGGGTGTGCGGAGAGGGCGGGACGCGAGGTCGAGCGCGCGCGCGGACGAAACGTCGAGGCAGCGCTCGAAGGCGCGCGCGCGTGATTTCGACGCGGACGAGTGATTTCATTTCATCACACGGCGTACGCTAGATGAAGAGGAACATGGGACGCTCCTTGGAGCCGATCATTTTCGCGCGTCGCGCGGCGCCGACGACGCGCTCGAGCTTGAGGGCGTCGAGTTTGGAGAAGAGGGCGACTACTCCGGCGGCGTGGCCCACCGCCGGGTTGGACGCGCTGGACACCGCGGCGGATGAACCGGCGAGATACGACACGAGCTCGGGGTAGAAGTGCGCGTGCTCCGGGAGGGAGTAGAAACAAATTTCTCTCGCGCCCTTGATGCGGCGGCGAAAGTAAAAGTGCGCTCTCTCGCTGAGGAGCAAAACACGCTTTCGACCGTCGGCGAAGAGCGTGCGCGCGCGCGCAGCCTCTCGAGGCTCGGTGTACTCGCTGTTCACCGCGAATGAAACGTCCTCCTTGGTGAGCAAGTTGCGAACGCGAACGAAATCAAAGTACGAGCTGACGAAGATGACGACGCCCGGCTCGGGATTCTCTCGAACGCGAGGGAGCACATTCTTCACGAAGTACTTGAAACGAATGTCATCTGCGTTCACCACATCCGAAGATTTCATCGGAATTCGCTCAAACTGCTGCCGTGTCTTCAGCGTGAGCTGTCCCAAAACGCCCTTGTACGTCGTGCGCAACCGAACCTTGCCCGCGAAATTTACGCATCGACGATTGAAGAGCGAGTTAATCTCCGGTGTCTGAAACGCCGACAAAAGGATCGTCTGCCGGACGTTGCGGGCGAATCCATTCAAGTGTGACTCGCGCACGCGCTGAACGTCGCAATCACGCATGTCTTTCGGGAGCTGGTTCATGGCGTCCAGAATGGTCACGACGTGCGCCCAGTTTTGCATCTGAATGACGTGCGCGTGATCGATAACTAGAATCTCGATCGAGCTCAGGAAATCCCCGGCCGTTTTCTCATCCTGGAGCGCGGTGACGATACCGAGTGGCGAGGCAAAGATGATGTCCGCGCCGAAGAAATCGACGTACAGACGCACGCTCGCTTTTGTGAGCTTCAAGCCGAGCCGAAAGTGGTCGTCCGTATTTCCCTTGAAGAGCGCGGTGTGATCCTCCGGAACGAATGGCTTAAACTTGCGCTTCTTACCCGCCACCTCGTCATTTTCGTCATCGCTTGCTTCGTAGGCTAAAAAGTCTTCCTCGATCCGCTCGAGCTTATTCACCGCGTCGTTTCGTCCGTGCGCTGCGGGACACAAATCGAGCAAACGCATAATCGCCCGACCCGCGATGTTTCGCATCGGCGTCAGGAACAACACAGTCGGCCGCACGAACCCTTGATCGCGCGGAAGATCGTCCTCGACAACCTTGATCCCAGCCTTGGCCTTCTTGGCGAGCCCCTCGTTGTTCTTCATCACGCGATTTCTCGTCCGCGTCACGTGATCGATAACGTGCAGACACACCGCGTCCAGCGTCTCATCGTTCATCTGTTGCCCCGCCGGACCTTGGTCGGGAACGAGTTTTCTATTACCGTGTTGCACATCCACGTAAGACGCCAAGACCGAGTACAGCGCCGCTTGCGACGCGCTCGCGAATCCCGCTTTTCCGGTCGCTTCCTTCCATCGCTCCGCCGTCTTCGCGTTTACGAAATTCGGTTTCTCCATCGCTTTCGGTACCTCCAACCCGCACGCCCCCTCCCACACGTCGTCGCGTGACCCAGACGTCGACGCGCCCGCGCCCGATTCGCCCCGCCAAACGATTTTCCTCGTCTTCAACTCCTCCGCGTCGCGCGCTCGGAGCGCTTCGCCCAGACGCGCGTGTCGTTCCATCGCCGACGCATCCTGATTTTCATCGCCACTCTCGCCCGCGTCTTCATCCGTCCCTCCATCGTCGTTCTCTTCGTCCTCTCCCTCTTCCTCGACGCTCCTTTCATCGTCGGATTCCGTCGCGTCGACCTCCGCGTCGTCCGCGCCGTCCGCACCGTCGTCGCTCGCATCCGCATCCTCGCTCCCATCCTCCTCGCTCCCATCCTCCTCGCTCTCGCTCTCGCGCTCGCTCTCGCTCTCATCGCTCGCGTGCGCGTCTACCCCACGCGTCCCGAGCGAGGCCAAGAGCGCGTCGTACGCCGACGTTCCGGCGACCGCCGCCGCCGCCCCCTCGCGTTCGTCATCGCTCGAATCGCTCGCGTCCTCGCCGCGCGTGGGCGCGTGGGCGCGCGCTTTCGCGACGCGATCGTTCGGACGCGCGCGATCGACGGTGCGTCTCGAGCGCTTCCGCGCCGCGCTCGCGGGCATCGCGTCGTCGTGCCGCGCGCGACGGTGACGGCGCCGATGGCGTGGGTCTGGGTCTAAACCCTCATTCTAGGGGTATTCGGTATCTAAACCCTATACCCTAAAACCCAGTTTTCACGCGTTTTCCACCCGCGCGCGTCACCCTCAATTCGCGCGTCGCCATGCGCGTGGCGCGCGCGCGCGCTCGGGCGACGAACGCCGTCGCGGACGCGCGACGAGATCACGCGCGAGCGCGAGCGCGTGCGCCGAGAACGCGCGCGCGCGCGGTCGATCAAAGCCTGAACCCGCGCGTCGAAGCGCTTCGACCGAGCAAAACGGTCGCGCTCACCGATCTCGCGCGACAGTTGCGAGCGGACGGGAAGGACGTGATCGGGCTCGCGGCGGGCGAACCGGATTTCGCGACCCCGCGGGCGGCGTCGGAGGCTGGGAAACGGGCGATCGATGCCGGGAAGACCAAGTACAGCGCGAACGCGGGCGACGCCGAGTTGCGCAAGGCGGTGCGGGAGAAATTACGGCGGGAGAACGGATTGACGTACGATTGGGCGAGCGAAATCGTGCTCTCGAACGGGGCGAAACAGAGCGTGGCGCAGTGCGTGTTGGCGACGTGTGGACCGGGGGATGAGGTCATCGTACCGACGCCGTATTGGGTGAGTTATCCGGAGATGGTGACCCTGAGCGGGGCGGAGTGCGTCGTCGCGGAGACGACGGCGGATGAAGGGTTTTTGTTGACGCCGGAGAAGTTAAGGGCGTGCATCACGGAGAAGAGCCGATTGTTGATCTTATGTTCGCCGAGTAATCCGAGCGGGGCGGTGTACCCGAGGGAGACGCTGGAGGCGTTGGCGAAAATCGTCGTCGAGCACCCGAGATTGTTGGTGCTGAGCGATGAGATTTACGAGCACATCGTGTACGCGCCGGCGTCGCATCACTCCATCGCGGCGTGTGATGATATGTGGGAGCGCACGCTCGTGGTGAACGGGTTCTCCAAGTCGTTCGCCATGACGGGATGGCGTCTCGGGTACGTCGCCGCCCCCAAGCACTTCGCGCGGGCGATGAGCATGTTGCAGTCGCAAATCACGAGCGGTCCGAACTCTATCTCCCAGGAAGCCGCGCTCGCGGCGCTACAACAGCTCGGTCCGCGAGGTGGCGATGCCGTGGCCGAGATGGTTCGCGCGTTCGAGCGTCGCAGAGATTTCGTGAGCGCACGCCTGTGCGCCATCGACGGCGTCAAGCTCCCGCGCGTCGACGGCGCCTTCTACGTCTTCCCCGACGTCAGCGCCCTCGTCGGCGACGGTGCGAGCGCAGAGGGGTTCGGCCCAATCGCGGATGTCGACGAACTCTGCAGATATCTCCTCGAAAAGGGTCTCGTGGCCGTCGTCCCGGGGAGCGCGTTCGGCGTCCCGAACTGCCTGCGCGTCTCGTACGCCGCCGCCGACTCCGTTCTCGACGAAGCGCTCTCCCGCATCGAGCGCTGCCTCGACCCGAGCGTGTACACGCGACCTTCCAAGTAATGCGCACGATTCATTCCTAGCCTGAACGCGCGCGTCGACGAACAGAGGCGCGTCCTCGGTCGCTCGCGCGCTTTTCGCCGCAGCCGCCGCGCGCGCGCTCCACTTCGCGCCATGCCGTCCACCCCTCGCGTCTTCCTCGACGCCGAGACGCGCCAACGCTTACACGACGTCCTGAAAACCCCCGATTCCGGCAGAGCGTCCGCGAAACCCGACGCCGCGCTCCTTCTGACGGAATTCCTCGAGGACACGGTGATCAGGTGTTTGACGCCCGAAAACCGTCGTTTTCTCCGTGAAGCGAAGGTCGGTCGCGCCTCGATCGCGTCCGCGCTGGATGAGTACGGATTATCCATCGACCCGCCGGTTCAAGGGCTCGGATCGGCGACGTACGACGCGATCGCGGATGAATTACTGAGCAGGGCGGTGGCGCTGACGGCGCTCGACGAGCGCGAGGCCGCGAGCGGTGATTTATCCGGACCGATCGACGCCATCGAGCGCTCGAGCAAGCGATTGAGACTGAACGATCGGATGACGAGCTCGGAGGTGTCGAACGCGATCGCGAGTGGGTCAGGGCGAGCGGCGCTCGAGCGCTTGGCGACGGCGCTCGGCGTGGAAGCTTCGAGCGGCGGCGACGTCGTCGACGCGTGCGTCACGCTCGAGCGATGCGTCGCCGCGCACGAGCGATTTGTCGCGGGGTTTGAATCGGCGTCGGGTCTGGAAGCGGCGAGAAATCCGCCGAGGTTGGAGGACGTCCCGAGCGGTATCGGGTTGGACGGCGACGCCGAGGTCGAACGCGCCGTCGCGGTCGCGCGCTTGCTCCACGTGAACGATCTTAGACGTTTGCAGAGCGATGTGGACGCATTTTTAGTCTCCATGCAGGAGTACACCGCCGACCCAAAGACGGATTCGCGCATGGGACGCGTCGGGCGGTGAGCGCGCGAATGAATGCGACGCGGCGGCTTTGAAACGACGTCGAGAATAGCACATAGCGAGCACGGATGAATAGAGTAGACACCATCATTCCCAAACATAATCAATCACCATCACGCGCGCGTCCCGCACCGCGCGCGCGTCAGAGCATAAAATTACACGACCCGTCCGAGCGCAACTCTTTTCGCATCAACACGCGCGGCGACGGCGCCTTCCCCCCGAACAACCCCGCCAATCTAAACACCCGCTCCCTCTCCACCTCGACGTATCCACTCTCTCGATACAATCCAACCGCCGCATCCTCACCCGCTCGAACGTGTAACCAACAATCGCACCCCCCCATCTCCGTCGTCAACCGCTCCGCCGCCCGCACGAGCGCCCGTCCCGTCCCGCGTCGTCTTCGATCTCGCCGCACGCACGCGTTCCCCACGTACGCCGCGTCCGACGGCGGCGCCATCCTCGAATCACCCTCCACCGGTCTCGTTCTCGACGTGATGGACACCGTGATGAATCCAATCACCTCTCCGCTCGTCCCGTCCGTCGCCGCGAGCGCGACCTCCTCCGGATCTTCCCTCGACGTCAACCCGATGACGTACCGCAGGACGTACGCCCGCGGTTTCGCATCCTCCGTCTCCGAGAACGCGTCGACGATGACGTCCACGCACGCGCGGACGTCGTCGTCGCGCGCTCGTCGCACGCGCGTCCCCGTCGCTTGGTCGACGAATTCAAACGCGCGTTGGAGCTCCAGGAGGTCGTCCCGGCGCGTCCCACGCGCGCGTGGGGTCCCTCGGGCGCGCGCGCGCGATCGCGGGCGCGCACGCGCGGGCGCGGACGCGCGCGCGAGCGCCATGGGCGTCGCGAAGCGCGGATTCTTTGGACCGAGGTGGTCGTCCACGGCGCGTGCGATGGCGACATTGGTCGACGACCGCGTCGCGATGTCCACCGCGTCCGAGGTCGACGCGCTCGAGCGCGAACTCGCGGGGTTAGCGCTCGATGCGAAGAAGGTGCGCGCGCGATGGGCGACGCGGACGCGAACGTGAGAGACGGAAAGACGCGGTGGAGGGTGATCTGGGATTTTTTTAGATTCGTGCGACTGACGAGCTCGCGCGCGCGCAGAACGGTGATCCGAGCGCGGCGCTCGAACGCATGCTCGCGCTGGAGAAGACGCACCGGTTGGCGGCGGATGCGGTGGCGGTGCCGAGGTTGTGCGTGGCGATCTTGGATTTACTTCGGGCGCACGACGATTGGGACGGCGTGCGAGAACACGTCGCGGCGTTGGCGAAACGACGGGCGCAGTTGAAGCAAGCGATCGCGGCGATGGTTCGTCGGTGTATGGCGTTTGTCGATGAGGCGCCGGACGCGACGCAGAGAAGGAAGCTGATCGAGACGCTGTGCGACGCGACGAATGGGAAGATTTTCGTAGAGGTTGAAAAGTCGAGGCTGACGAGAAAGTTGGCGGCGATGCACGAGGAGGAAGGACGGATCGAGGAGGCGTGTGCGGTCATGCAGGAGGTGGCGATCGAGACCTACGGGGCGCTCACGAGGCACGAGAAGTTGTTCTTCATCGAGGAGCAAGTGCGCCTGTGCCTGGCGAAGAAGGATTATCTCCGCGCGTTAATCTTGAGTCGTAAGATCAACCCGAAGACCTTCGACGAGCTCATCGAGAAGGGAAAGAAGGAAGCCGAGAAGGAAGCCGTGAAGGCGAAGAACGAGAGCGAGCGAAGCGAGGCTGAGAAGGAGGCGCTAAGGAAGGAAAAGTTGAAAAAGGAGGGACAGGTTGAGCACGCCGAGGGGTACTTTGAACCGACTGACGAGGGCATTCCCTCGCTCGAGGCGCTCAAGCTGCGATATTACGAGCTCATGGTGGAGTACTATAGTCATAGCGATCAGTATCTCGAGATTTGCCGGTGCTATCAGAACATTCTGGAGTGCGCGGAGGTGAAGGACGATGCAGAGAGATGGGCGCCGACGCTCAAAAAAGTTGTCTGGCTCGTGTGCATGTCCAAGCACGAACCGATGCAGCAGTCCATTCTGCACGGTGTCAAGGGTAACTTGAAGCTCAGCGATTTACCCGCGCACCAGGCGTTGGTGAAGCAATTTTGCACCAAGGAGATCATCCACTGGACGACGCTCCAAGAGCGGTACGCGCAAGAGATCTCCGACGAGACGGAGCTCTTCGGCGGCGACAAGGGCACGAAGCGCGTCGAGGATCTCAAGCTCCGGGTCATCGAGCACAACATGCTCGTCATCGCCGCGTATTACTCGCGCATGTCCCTGAGCAGACTCTCCGAGCTCTTGTGCCTCAGCCCGGAGGAGACGGAGAAGCATCTGTCTTCGTGCGTCGTCGACAAATCAGTCGCCGCGAAGATCGACCGTCCCGCCGGTCTCGTCGACTTTACCGTTTCCAAATCCAGCCACTGGCTCCTGAACAAGTGGGCGTCCAACGTCGACTCGTTGCTCTCGTGCTTAGACAAGGCGTCGCACCTCATCGCCAAGGAGTCGCAAACGCACAAGGTGGCGCTCACGTCAGCGGACTAGTCATTTTAATCGCGACACACAACCACCGCGCGGGCACGACTCCCGACGTCGCACCAGAGAACGCGCGGGCGTCGCGCGTCGTCATCCGTCCGCGTCACCCGTCGTCCCTTCCCCCATCCTTCCCACGCGCACCGTCTCCACCCCCGTCTCCGTCTCGCCGCCCCGTCTCCCGCGTCCGCATGCGCAGCGTCTCCTCCCACCCTCTCGCCTCATCGCTCCCCGCGCGCAGCGCCACCTCAAACTTCCCGCGTCCGTCCCGCCGCCGCTCGCACGCATCCGCGCACGCCGCCGCGCACACCTCACTCGCCTCCTCCGCCTCCGCGCACGCCGCCGCCCGCTCACACGCATCCGCGCACGCCAATCCACACGCGACGTCCACCGCGCGTTCGCTCGCGCTCGTCGACGCCGCGATCGCTTGTTTCTCCGTCCCTTCGATTCGCGCGAACACGCGTACGCGCGCGCTCGAGACGCGCTCCGCGCGCGCGCTCGCCGCGGACGTCCCCGCGCACGACCCACGGACGCGGACGCGGGCGTAGGGCGCCCGCGTCGCCGTCGCGGCGTCGTCGTCCACGGCCATGGGCGCGAGTCGGGATGGCGATCGTCGTCGATCGGTGGTGTCTCGACCGGTGACGCACCTTTCGATGGGTATCGTCGACCGGTGACGCGCCTTTGGACGCGATACCGATCGACCGGTGGTGGATGCGACACATCGCGACGGGCGATTCGGCGACGACGGCGGGACCGCGAGCGACGCGCGGGGTGGAAGGGGCGCGGGCGGTGGTCGCGGCTCGGCCGCGCGCGCGTGGGCGACGGTGGGCGTCCCGATCGGCGTGTATTGGATTTCATTGAATCGCATTGAATCGCATTGAATCGCATCGATTTTCATCGACCATGGACGACGACGTCGTCGCCGACGCGACGTCCGGGGCGTGGTGTTCGACGTCAGTGATAACGGCGTCGATGTGGGGGGTGGCGCGGACGCGCGGGACGTGCGCGCGGACGGTGGAAGATGGGCGGACGCGCGCGGCGCTGGCGGCGCTCGCGGCGGCGCGGCGGGACGGACGACGGGCGACGCTCGAATCGTCCATCGCGCGGTGGCGCTCGGCGTGCGCGAGACGGGTCGGGAACGAACGCGCGGTGGTGGCGATGCGTCGGCGGTGGGCGTTCGGGGTGAAGAGACGGTATTTTGAGCGGTGGCGGGCGCAGACGCCGAGCGCGCGACGCGGCGGGCGCGAGTGGGGGACGAATAGGTTCGGCGTCGTCGACGACGGCGAGATGGACGAGGAGTTCCCGGTGGATTATCGCGCCGAATTGGAGATTCGTTTGAGTCAAATATCCCGGCTCGAGGAGGCGCTGAGAGAGGCGAAAGAGCGCGAGCGGAACGAGCGCGAGCGGAACGAGCAGCCGAACGCCGAGGCGCAGATGAAAAAGTTTCGAGAGCACTTACAAAACATGCAGCGCGAGATGGAGGGAGTGAAGCGCGAGCGCGATGCGTATAGGAAAAAGTGGGAGACGAGCGTGGGGCCGGCGGCGGAGAAGGCGGCGGCGGATCGACGGGCGAATCAACGCACGATGGCGACGCAGACGGTGTTCGCCGAAGAGGACCGCGTGGAGGCGCAAAAAGAGCTCGTGGAAAAGGCGAAGAAGTCACAGATTCGAGCCGCCGAGGAGAAGTGGATGGAACAGGCGAGGTTATTCGAGCAAAAGTTTGAGCGACAGATGCAAGTGGCGAGCGAGTACGAGATTAAGCTTCGAGAGGAGCGCGCGAGGCTCACGAGGAGCGAGGCGCAGTACGAGGCGCGGTTGGAGGAGTTGACGGCCAAGCACGCGGAGACCGAGGCTGAACTCCTCGCTCTGAGAGGTTCACTGGGCGTGAGCGCGAGCGGCGGTGGATCGTTCGGTGATTTTAGTCGTGAGCGTTTCGCCCAGTACGCGAAAATCGGCGCCGGTACGGCGGCGGCGCAGTCGTTCCCGAACGTCTCGCCGCTTCGATCGCCCTCGCCAGAGGTACCGGAGACGTTCGCGTCACCGACGTTGAAACTCGGCGATTTGGCGATTCAGGACACCCCCGGGGCGGGTTCTAAGGTCGTGGAGGATGACGACGCGTATCAGAGCGCGAAGAAGTTTACCTTCGCCGATTTCTCCTCTGAGGATGAGGACGAGGTTGAGCGCGAGAACGAAGAGTTCGCCCCTCCCGCGGACGACCGCCTCACGCGCACGACGTCGCCCTCGATCCCGCTTCACCCTTCACCGCCGCCGCAGACGTCCGCGTTCACGAAGAAACCGCTTCGTCTCACCGTCGCCGTGGCCAAGCTCGTCGTGCTCGGGCACTCGCAGCGAGACGCGATCGAGGCGCTGAAACACGTCGATAACAACGACGTCCACGCCGCCGTCGCCTGGCTCGCCCGACGACATCGAGCTTGACGCGCGACGACATCACATCCCTAGACCTCCTCGCGCGCACATCGCTCGAGCACATGTAACCGTCGTCCGCTTCGCTTCGCGCCGCTCGCGGATAACCGCCGCGCGCGCGTCCGGACACCCCGACGCCCGTCGCCGAGCGACACCGACCCCACCGCGCGGTGCCGCCGAGGAGAACAAAACGCTCTCAACATGGTCCGTCGACGCACCGCGAACGGTCGAGCGACGGGACGCGCGCGAGGAATCGCGTCCGTGTCACGCATCGCACGAAATCGACCCTTTGCTCGACGCGCACGCCGCGCGCGCGCCCTCGAGTGGCGCACCGACGACGCGAAACGAACGACACTGACTCGAGCTCTCCGCCGCGCCCGCGAACGTCGCAGATGATCAAGGTGAAGACGCTCACGGGGAAGGAGATCGAGATCGACATCGAGCCCACCGACTCGGTGGAGCGCATCAAGGAGCGCGTGGAGGAAAAGGAAGGGATACCGCCCGTGCAGCAGCGATTGATCTTCGGAGGGAAACAGATGAACGATGAGAAGATCGCGAAGGATTATAACATCGAGGGTGGGAGCGTGTTGCACTTGGTGTTGGCTCTGCGAGGCGGCGGCGGCGCGCGCGGGAACGACGCGCGAGAGGCGGCGCGAAACAGAGGTTGACTTTGAGACAAGGATAGAGTGCGAATGCATGTAGCTAAAGAATCGCTGATTAATTACAACTGAATGATCTACGCGGACTTTAAGAACATGGAGCGCAGAATGACCTCCTCTTGACCGACCACCGGCTTGGAGAGCTCCTCGTACGCGTTCTTGAACGCGGCCGGCGGGCAAGAAAAGTTCACGACGACTTGGTACGCGTCCGGATATCCCTTGATTTCGTACGCGTTCGGCTGCAGACCCCGTTCGGTTTGTTCCCAGGACGCCAACCCATCGTTAAACATAGCCTTGAATTGATCGAGCGCCCCCGAGCGCGTGGCGTCGTCGCAATCCGGTCGGAGCAGGAGCACGCCCTCGTACGTCGTCGGCAGGTGCGTCTTCTTCACCGCGCGCGTCTTCTGCGCATCGCCCCGGCGCATCGCCGTCGTCGGCGCGCGCACGCTCGTGTTCACTACGCACGTCACGAACACACCGTCAGTCTCGCGTCGTCCCGCGCGTCGTCCCGTTCGCGCGCGAGCAACCCTAGGGTCAGGGTCACCCACGCCCGTCCCCGACGCCCACGCCCACGCCCACGCCCGCCCACCCCCG